CTTTAACAGCTTTATAAATTGCGGGCCTATTCTAGAAAATAATCAATAACTGCTCACTTATTTGGAAATACAAACTTTACATCTCTTAGATCGTTAGATTAATCAATCCACAATGGTATTGTCGCACGACGGGGTCGCCAAAGTTTCCTTTGGCTCAGCTGTCAGCTCGTGAAGACGGCGAAACCCGCGGTGATCATGGGCAACAGTAAACATCAATGCCACATTCCACGCAAGATCCTCCACAGATCTTTGGCCGAATATCATTGGCGGCGTGTCATCCTCGGAAGTGCATGCGCCACTAGTGCAGACAATGGCTGCAACAGACACCACAGTTACTACCGAAGCAATCGCAAAGACAATCCCCAAGCATAGGAGCTTTCCGCTGTTCGTACTGGTATCCGGTATGCACTTTCGGAGCAGCGATGCCTCGTTCGCTCCGTTATTTTCTTGCACGGGATAAACAAGATAGGCACTGGCGGGGGACTCTACGAGCTGTGCGTTTGGCAATTCTTGGGTTTCTTGTCTTCTGTCCAGCATGGAATCAGTTGGACCCACAGCTGGACCTTTCAGGTGTCGCATGTCCTCGGGAAGCCAATCGGGGAAGCGGTGAGAATTGTTGTCCCCCATAGGGTCTTGTTCGGTTTCAACAGCAGCGCTGTTGTTTTCATGCTGATTAACGGCGGGAAGATCAGGAGCGTTCATTTTCACGTTGTTGTTTTGGCCAGAGCAAGGATAGACAGATGGGGAATTGTGTGGATCTCAAATCTTCAGCAGCTTCTAACAATGGGGTTTCGCAACCGCTTCCTACTAGCTAGACTAGCTAGCTAGTACATGTACGTGTACCACCAAAACCGCCCCCGACTGGCGAGACTTGGATTCGATACTTTCAAAGTCATCTACTAGCTACCGGTACCGGTACCGGTAGCTAGTAGTACAGTAGCTACTGTAGCTACCGTAGCCAGTGAGACATGCCACGAGACCGGTCTCGGTCGGATTGTCACGACTGGCCGGTACCAGTACGCGCATTGCACCTGTAGTGATCTTATCCATGAGGGAGGAGTCTGCATGTCTGCATAACATCCGAAATCGAGGAGCGGTCCTTTGTTCGGGAACGCTTGCTTCATCACATCGTCGTTCCTTGTCGAGAGTCGAACGCCTCATGTGGCGTCAGAGCAAAATGGAACCTTGCATGGAGTGGGAACGAACGAGAGCAACGGAATTTATTGAAATGGCATAAAGAGTAATTCAGACGAAAGATCCTTCTAGACCAACCCATCAGAAAATCGGTAGAACGGAACAACCTGAAACCTCCAATGAGACGAAGCTCAGTAAAGAGTCCGCAGTTTCTGGCGAATATGTCCACGAAAAAGCGGTCGCACCAGAACAACTTCTCTTGGACGCAGCGAACAGCGATCCCTACTTTTCTGCCCCGGCCAAGTGAAAGAAGCCAAACAAGAGCTCGCTATGCATGTGTTATTAGAGGACAACCGCCACAGAACATCCAAGATGGACGCAACGGACCAGAAAGCCGTTCAAAATGTGAATCTAACGGAGCGCATTATGGACCTCCAAGAAGAGGGCATAGTGGCTGGAGCAAAGAACGTGGACAACCGAAGAAATGTTCATTTTGCCTAAGCAAGCGAATGCGAAGAAGATGAGTGTTAAGAGTGTGAGTGCTAAGATGATGTAGGATAAGACTATAAGCAGATGTAGCAACCCTACGGGAGCCCTTCGGGAGACCGCAAAAGAGTCCCAGAGCCACCCTCACCTCCGATGCGCCTACTTCCCTGATGCACTGCCGTCATCTTTGACATCCATGTTGGGAACGGTGGATTCGGCACGTTTGTTACTGCGTGGTGCATGCTGAAGTCTACCGTACAGAGGCGTGCATGAGCTCCCCGGCAAGATGGATGCCACTCATCTATGCTTGCAATATTTTTGAAGGTCGCAACTCAAGAATGGTGGACAATGCTTGGCAACACTGCTGGTGTAGAAACTGATGTGGCACAAGTAGGAGGATCCAATCCCGGGGCTTCCTGGCTAGATGGTGGCATGGGAGATATGCTGACCATGCGACCAAAGCTTCTTCGATTGGCTCTGCTGCTCTTCCCCGCATTTGGGGTGGAACACTGGATGATAGGACATTGCACAAAGTGGATCATTAAAATAATGTGGATCCACAAAGGAGGGTATGTGCTTCTTCGCCAGAAGGAGGAATCTGAACAACAATCTTTCAATGATGTCGCTGCCTCGCTGAGCTACAGATAGCTAAAAAGGAAACGATTCCACCCAGCAGACAGACTTGACAATGCTAACATGTTACAGTAGATATAGCCTTGCATTACATGTATAGGATAAGTTTTACCATATTACAGAAATTCATTGGCATTGGAAGCAGATCGAGGAAAGAAGTCATCCAATCCTAAGGACATCAAGCTTGCATAATCCTTGACATGACGTCTCAAGTGTGACAAGAGCTCTTCGTCCCTAAAATCAACTGGTATGTGAATTGTGACACTGTTGTCATGGTGCAGGGCAATGGCGAATCCATCATTGGCCATTACATCTCCTTTGGTTTGACGTTTCCGTCGTTTGTAGAGTGCAGTGGCAGCAGTGTTGAAACTTCTTGCCGGCATCAACGTAATGACTGTAGATTCCCACATTCTGCCAAGATTTTCCAATTGCAGGTCATCAAAGTGTTCATCCAGCAACAATGACAATCTCCGAATGGCCACAAGCTGCATGATGGGATCCACACCCTCCACTTTATCATCATCATTTGTTGGTTGTTGCTCTTTTTCTTCTTCTTCTGCCACACGAACCTTGGAAAGAATCTCTGCAATATGTGCCATGCGTCGTTGTGGATCGTCTCGAATCAATCCGTCCGTGGCCATATCGGCATGTACATCTCTCACAGTTTCCTTGTATATTTCCTCGTACCGGTTCCAATCAATTTTGGAAACAAATTCATCTCGATTGCGTTCGTACTTTTGTTGCCTTGCAAATCGTATTTTGGCATGGGAAATATGACTACTGGGATCTTCACCCTCTTGAACAGCTTTGCTCCATGCATGTTGAATATCCTCTTCCAGCGTAGTCTGTTCTTGATATGGTTTGGAATTGGGAGCCGTCAGTCCAGCGACATGAAGCAATTTGATCAGTTGACTTTCCACGTGTCCTTGAAATGCATGGCGAGCCTTATCTTTGTTGTTGTTTCTAGTAGTAGTAGTAGTAGGTGCCATCACAATGGCTTCCAAGACTTGTTTCCTTGGTAGTGATAACTCGACGGTTCGCCGGCACAGAATTTCTTCCTTTTTGCCTCGCACCCGTTCTTCCATCATGACACAGAAATCCACATGAAAGATGGTTGTTTCATTTCGTTGTAGCCTAGCCCCGGGTTTCAATTTGGCTTGGACGGAATCCAAAAAGGCATTGAGATTCTGAATGGCCACCAAGTTGACCTGTTTGGCCGTCGGTGAGGTCTGAGTATCTGGATGGACTTTCATAAAGAAAGGTTTGACCATGGACCTCATGGCGGAAGTAAAAGATGGAGCAAATTTGTTGCCCGTAGAAACAGCAGAAGCATCCGTCAGCTCCTCCTCCGCACTGCTAAAGTTGGCTTGGGAGGATGAAGAGGACAACGAACGGTATTGGCTCCAACCGTTCCGTTCAGCATGAAGAAATTCACCCCAAACAGATGATGTTCCCCCGACACTGACATGATGGCTGCCAAACAGAGAGCCTACAAGTGGTGCCCGCCGCCTTGCTATCCTACTAGTGGTGGCCTTGACGGTCAACCAAAGGCATTGCTTGGACGACATCATTGATCAAGGGGAGACTGTGACCAACCACTGGCAAGGGCAGTAGTGCTAACGCGAGGCGACCGAGCTCGAGAGGTGTGGCGCAAAGGCGATCTTCTTGCCTCGTGAAAGATGTTACCTACGGTACTAGCTAGCTACCGTTACATTTTGCATGTAGCATTATTATTGTTATGTGGTTGGGAGGAGACGTGGACAGTGGACAAACTTTGCCGCACACAAAAAGCCGGTTGCTTGCTGCATCCCTTCCCTGCGTCGTCTATTGCTCTGTTGCGTACCGTAGTCCTTCGGTGGTACCACATTGAAAAGTGAGCTACTGTATCGGTAGCCCCTGCCTCCTCCAAAAGCTGTGCAAAATCATTTACAAATCTGGCTTCACTCGGGTATTATTTATGAACGCCATGAAGAATACCGACGCCATGGACACCAGTGCCGAGCCCACTACTACTATGGATCGTCGAAGCAACCATCCCCCAAACTCGTCGTCATCATCTGATCTCATTATCAACAAGGAACCGTTTGCGGATATTGTCCGTCATTACGTACTGGACCTCCTGGAAGCCACCGATATTCTCCAATTACGGCAACTGCCCGAATGCCGCGAGAGTTTGAATCTGGATCGGCAGTACTGTTCCATCGATGGGAACAAGTTGGAGTTTCGAGAAATTACGCTTACACCCACAGAGCGGCAAGAAACGCAACACATTTTTGAGTCCAATGCACAAAATGCCCGCGATGCCAACCAAGCACACAAGGATCACGATTTGTGTCATTTTATGGACGACGACAATGGTAGAGAACAAGTGTGTCCTCGCTGTCACGCCTGTTTGGGATGTCAACGAGTGTTTCGGTGGCAAGAACGACAGCATTTGGATCCTGTCTATTGCGAAGATTGTCCGGGATTTTGGTGTGACGATTGTTACTTTACCGATACGCTAGGACCCGACCATGCCAATTGCTGCCGTTGCGATCAGGAAATGTGTGCCGTCCAACAACAGCGGCAACGACAACAACAAAAGAATAATACTGATGATACCAACAGCAATTTACCCATTTGCGATGCTCGACTCTGCGAGGATTGTACGCGGCAAAATCCTACTTGCAACACTGTCAATTACACGTGTGGACGATGCGAAAAGAATTTTTGTCACGGTTGTTACGGAGCCTGGCAAAACATTAATCACCCCGATGGAGCCCATCATGGATTCTGTTGCGATGATTGCATTCCCCTCGTCGAACAGAATCCTCTATCGCACTTTGAATGGTATTTTAGTATGGGACCAGAGAGGGTGTAGCAGCAGTACACACATGCATTCAAGCAAAAGGAAGATTGGATTGGATTTTTGTCAATCTTTTGGGAGGTATCGAGATTGGAAGAATGACAGTTGACGCAATGCGTTTCGTCCTTCTTTGGTCCTCAGCTGCTGTATTGATGCGCTGCCAAGCTCCTGGTAGACCAAAGGAGAGCATGTTTTCCGATCCATGAAGACGGAATCGAACCTAGCTAGCTAGAGATGTGCATAAGCAATAGAAAGTTTAATATAACTTGCTAATCGCCTTTCAACAGCTCCTTCTCCGTGCTGTTGGTACCTTGCTCGTTCGAACTTATGCGACTCAAGCCACTACGCCGTCATGATTCGATATATCAGTACGCAACACTACGCAACTACCAGATAGCAATAGATAGTTGAACTAATAAAGAATGATTGTTAAAACAGTGGACTTACTTGATGCAATCCACTATGATTCGATTCAATCTATCTGTACAGTAGGCTTCAAGAAGCCACCTGTAGACAGAACCGATCAGCTACCTTCTAAGAGAAGCCCTGCCTGTGGCTGGATGTAAAATGTAGTTTTCTATTGTTTACTATTGGCCTGTACCTGTATATATGTATGTAGGTGGCTTCCAAACTGGAATCCAGAAAGGCAAGTTGCTCAAAAACCTCTCTCCTGTACACTCCACTTGGGTCGCTTCGATCGTGTTGCAAGGTTGCATTCGATGTCTTTTTTAATTTAGGCAAAGATCCTCGTCACGGAGATGGCGCTCTTTCGACACAGCGGACATGTCAATTCGCCCGACTTGGCTTCTGCCGCACGTTCAAAGCAGGGCACGCATCCCGAACAGACACAGAGGTGTCCACAAGGGATAAAGGCGCAGACTGGTTCTTTCTCCAAACACACCACGCACTTTTTGTCTCTCTTGTCCAGGTCATCATCATCACCGGGACCTGTTTGCTGCTGTTCCACAAGAGCCATTATCCGATCATTGACGGTTGGTTCCAACGACGAACTACAAGTATTGCCAGTACCACGGGTCTCAAAGAGCTTTTGCTTTTTCTTCATCTTTTTGAAGGTCGAATGAAAGGATCCAAGTTGCAAGACGGTGCAATCGCCGGTATGACGCTTCTCCAGAGATTGTGTGTCCTGATGCCACCCAGGATATGTGAATTGAACCGAGTCCAAGGCAACGAGGTCGGGATGCGATCGGTCGCCATCTACCAACAGCTTTTGTTTGTTCCTCATGGCCACCACCTTGTCTTGAAAGCGATCCAGAGTGGAAAAATCGGTAAAGTACCCCTCTGCCGTTTGCTTGTCGGTTTCCCACCCGAGATAGGTGAATTGGTAGTCATCCAACGACTTTAATACGGGTATGCTGGCCCGATCCTCGTGCATTTGTTGTTTCTTTTGCATCTTGCTAAAGAGAAAGGAGCAAGTGATACCCAGCTGGAACAATGTACAATCTCCGGTATGTCGATCCATCAGTTCCTTCTGATCCACCTCCCATCCTTGGTACGTAAACCGCGCCTTGTCCATCGCCGCAATATCCGGATGAGAACGGTCTCCTTCCATCAGTCGCTGTTTGTTTTGCATGGCATGGAGCTTTTCGTAGAATCGCACCGGAGTCACGTATTGTACGTAGATTTGTTCCGCAATCTCAACATCTCGTTGCCATCCTGGATAACTCAAATGAGTATTATCCATCTCTCTCAGACAGTCAATGTTGGATCGATCTCCACTGCTCAGACTTTCCTTCTTTTTCATTTGGTTGTACTTGTTGTGATAACTGCCCAGCTGCAAGACGGAACAATCTCCGACGAGACGCTTTTCGGCATCTTCCTTGTCCGTCTGCCATCCCTGATACGTAAACATGGTCGAGTCCAGCGTGTGAAGGTGCGGTATTTGCGAGCGATCGTCGCCCGTTTCATGCAATCGCTGCTTGCGGCGCATGCCAATGATCTTCTCCTGCATCAGTACATCGTACAGTGAGTGCTCGACGAAGATCTTCTCGGCGGCTGCCTTGTCCGCTTCCCAACCGGGGTAGTTGAGACCAAGTTGTTGTAACGACGGCGACATGGTCAGCATCTTTTGATTGTTTGTTTTTGTTTGAATTAGTTAGTAATTGTGCGAGCTGACACCGTGTGAGTGGTCTGTTACTAGCTAGCTAGCTAGCACCGGATAGTAGCAGAGAGATGAAAAACAAAACAAGCTCAACACACACCACAAGCAAGCAAGAATCGGGGGCAGTTCTGTTCTGCTGTCAGCTATTGCTGCCATCCGCCAACTCATCAAGCGGATTTACCACGCAAGCACAAAGGAGATATGAAAAGGCTTGTTTCTGACGTGGCGCGATCATGGTTGCACTATCAGTACAAATCTTGCACTGTAAATGCAATCACGAACAGAGGCCGTTCGAGATCCAACGACTACAATTGGTGACGTGGTACTCTCTAAGTGTTCCAGCGAGCTAACTTTTTCACTTTTTCACCGCCACATTGCACTTGTCACTTGTTGTTGGGGTTATGGTTGTCGTGTCATGTGTCATGCCAACAAGACTTCCAAACCAAACTATGGCAAGCTGGTTGCCTGGTTTTACAAGCAATCTATTGGTGGGAGACAAGGAGAGTTGAAGACTGAAGGGAAAGCAAGCTGGTTTTGCAAAGCATTGAAGTTCCAAGAATAATGCAAGAAAGTGAAGCAGCTCATCAGCGAGCTCACTTGTCGACTTACAGCATTGCTGGGTCACATGTTGGTTTTGTGGGTGGGTGCCTGTCGTTCGAAGACTTCCAACCAAGTTGTGGCAAGCTGTTTGCCTGGATTTGCAAGCGATCTATTGGTGGAAGAGCTACAGTACAAGGAAGTTGAAGAGGGCTGAAGTGGCTGAAGGCAGCTTTTGCAAAGGACTTAAGTCCACGAACAATGCAAGAAAGTGAAGCCCTGGATGTGCTTCACCACATCCGAAAGATAAAAGACGAGGAAACGGAGTTGGAGTGGCTTGCCTTAGCACCATTGGTGGGTGGGCAACTAGCTAGACACAGTGGAGGTTTGTGCAGCATGAAGAGTAGCTCGCTCGTAGACAAAGGATTTTGCCTGTTGCCATCACTGGATGCAGATAAACAGCCACAGTGTAGCCCTTCCATATCCAAAATGAAAACAAGCCTTTTGCATCTCTAACCGCGGACATTGACCCGATCATCCAGGCTTCCATGGCAGCAAAAAGAACAAACTTCGCTGAGCAGACGGGAAGCGGTGCTGTCATCGTGGTATGGTCGTTCCTGCAAGAGCATTGAATTAGTAGCAATACAAAGCTTAACTCTGAAAGGTGCAAGGCTACCGTATTTTCTAACCTGTCGCCGGTATCGCGGTTATGCTGAACAATCCACACACATAATCCAATCAACACGATTTTTTTCATCATGCTTTTGACCCGTGCTGAAATTGCGAGGATTAGGAGCGGTCCGCCAATGGCGGGGGGAGTCAGAGTTGATGATCCTACGACCTTGGCCTGGTTGTAACCGTAATGAAGCATGAAAATGGTGTTAGTACCTATCTACTATGTAACAGAAAGCAACAACGTATCGTGACTGCTAAATTTGAGGGCGGTGGTTTGTCCACTACGAGCGTGATATCTCAATTTGACTTGGAGGCAGGGATGAAAGTTGTTGGTTTGACTGCTTTGCGGGCTTTTCTTGAAACGAAACGTAGTAGACCTTTCTTATATGTGTACGCCAATTTGAAGCGCGTGTTGGATAATGCTGAAATTGACTTTTATGCACGTGGAGAAGATGAGACAGACGATTTGGGTTATGCAGCTCTGTCACCGTAAGAATTAAAGGCTGGACTGAAAGTCGTTCCATTGGGGTCATAAATTTATGAAGGGTGCTTTGGTGAGATGAGTGTATGGCGCCAACATTGTTCCATTGTTTCGATCTCGTGTGCATGTTTCTCAATGCAGTCGACAGGCCCGAGCATCACTGCTTGATCAGTAGCATCAGTCTCTAGCCGCAGTATCATCATCCAAAACGATCCTAAGGTACATGTACAATTGCTGCGGAAAAAATAATAATCCCTTGCTTACTTTTCTTTCAATAGTCTTGCGATCACAGCTTCTCTAAACGAGCTTCACCCGCCACATGCAGCTGTTGCTAACAAATGCCCATCATCACTAATCTAGCTCTCGTCCACTTTCAGAGCCTCCCTCCATATGCAGGAAGAGATTCCACGGGAACTCGACGCTGCTGTCCACCAATTTCTTGCGCTTCCCTGTCCGCAAATATTCGGGGTGATTATCGTAAATCCAGTTGATGAGGGGAATGTATCGAAGTCCATCTTGTTCATCCTAAGTCCTGACACAATATCACTCATGATGCGGTTTAGGGCTTCATTTCGTAGAATTTGCTGATGAACCACGGCGTGATTGATGCTTTTCATGCTGCGAAAAATGTTGGATATTGCTTGTCGGGCGTCCCCGTCAATTCCACGAGGAAAGATCAATGGGGGATCATGCATGCGACCAGCGTCCAGAAGATTTAGAAGTTGATATAAACGAAGCCACGAGACTTCTGGTGGGAAGACGCAGTCATGTCCTGGTAAGAAACCCTCGACTGCATCGATACCGACAAGCTTCACTAGGGCGTGAGTAATCACATTTTCGCAGCGACTCAGCACTTCCCGGTGGAACATACGGTATGATACTCGAGTTCGTCCAACCGCCCTTTGTGATACAACATATCCCGGTAGGCAGACTTTGATGTGTGGTGGAGAGGTCTGTCTTTTTCCCCGGGAAGGCGGTAACTGTATTCCTCGTGTTCTTCATTGAAATAGTAGAGTACACCAGCATAAGTTTTTCCCCGCTTCCAGCCGTCAGGAAGGACGATATCGGACTCAATCACATACTCCTGCGTTCGCAAGTGTCGGTAGATCATCTTCTCGTCTTCATCTGTCGATGACGGTTTGCAAGGGAACCCTTTCACCTTCTTATTTTCAACAAGTTGGCCTGGAAGATAGTCAGAGTACTCCCCGAGTTCAACATTGCAATAACAACCTTCAGAAGTATCAAAAAACCAGTCGGGAGGGAGTGGGATGGATTCAAACGTATCCGCACGAGCATTTGTCACTACATTATAGTAATACGTCGCTCCTGTTCCATCACTTTGCTGTCTCCACGGGAAATCTGAAATAAACGACATGGTTCGTTTTGTCAATTTATTTTTCGTCCACTACCGCAATACGGGTACAATGCTCGGAGAGATGCGGAGTCATGATGCTGTAGCTTGTTGCTGTTTGTTGTTGCGCTGTCGAAAATGACCTGTGGTAGCGATTTATGACTATCCAGTTACCAGATTACTAAAATCAACCACAACAACCAAGTAGTAACACACACAACACTATAGCAACCTCTTTACCAGGGGAAGGGACACTCGGAGCCGAGTGAGTAAGCTTGAAGGCGATATTAGAATTTCATAGCTTACCCCCGTGTGGGTCTGAAGTATAAAGTGAAGTTGAGTTTACGCGGTGTGAAAGTACGTGAAGGACTAATCAATCGGAGAATGCGGTGAACAGATATTTTTAGGGTTAAGATTATTTTGCTGCTGCGCCTGCCTAGCATATGTGTGACTCCGTCATTTTTTGTTTCGTTTTTGGTTTTTTTGTAGAGTCTTGGAATTTGGATTGAGTGATTGCACAAGATATGGATACATTGATGTTGTCTGGGGTGGTAACAATTCCATTTCTGCAACTTAGGAACGTCACCATTTTGGAATCCTATGCCCATTGGCATGAGTTTCAAGGACGCGTGAATGTGATTGCGTAGGCATTCTGGGAGCATGGGTTTTTAGAGGTCGCTGGAATACTTCATAGTGTCTGTAGCACTGCAAAACAATTCACTGTGGATATCACGATCCGTTTCAGTAGGGACAAGGTCAGTGAGACTTTCATCAGGGGTGAGTTGTGTGACTTTAACAATGGCACTTTTGGCAAAAATCGGGAAGTTAGTCTTCAATTTGGGGTCATACATGGCACGAACAAGGCCAGGGGCATCATCAGTTTCCTTTTTGAAGAGGTATTTGAAAGCTTCATGGCCAATAACTTCGAGCACTTTATTAGCACCCTAGCTTCGGCCTGCCACCCCCCCCCTCCACACAATCCAGAGGAGTTCTTCACTAACAGATGAAAAGTTTTCGACTGGAATGGTGAAGGTAGTCCACATGGAAAAGAAATAGTTAGTGCGACCTTTGCCTTGTTTGTCTTCATAATTTTCAATAGATTGCTTATTGCGGGAAGGATCATTCACGTCCACAGTGTGGCAAATAGCAAGCTTTTTGAATGCCTCATTAATCGTGATGCTCTCATCCGGGTAGGAGTTGGTCCAAAGCTTGAGGCATGGTGCGATATGTTCCACTTTGAAATACCAGGGCTGGCCATTGTACTGATCAATGGGTTTCATGACCAGGCATGCAATAGTGGCTGTTGAAACAGTCTTGACAAAGACTTCCATTCGCTTGCGTCTTATCTTTCTTTTCTGCAGAAGCATAAATTTTTTCAGCCATCCTTTCAGCCTCAGACGGTGTTGGTTTGTTAGGAGTTACAAGACGAACTTTAGCAGCAGCCGTGGGAGCGTGTTTCACCATGGTATCAGCAATTGTTTTGAGCTTCTTTTGAGGAGTTACAAGATGAACAAATTCATGTTTTTTCTTGATGATGGACTTCCACATTTATATTAAGACTTCTCAAGCTTTCTCACCTCAGTGATCAAAAATGGGCTTATTGCTTTTATGCATCTGGAAGACAAAATGTTCCTTGGTTTGTTTTGTCTTCTCTTCAGTAGATTTAGCAGCCGGCTTAGAGTTGGCGTTTGCATCAATGTCAAGATGCTCATTGTTATTGTCTAGGTTGGCAATTGGTTTTTTAGCAGCAATTCCAGCAACTATGGCTGCAATTTCATTGGTAGTTTCATCATCAGAAAAAGTCATTTCCGTCAGATTGCTCAAGAATGGTAGACTTGAAAGGAAATGATGGTGAAGAAATGTGTTGAATGCTGTGCACAATGGGCACTGTATTCAGTTGGTTATTGGAATAAGAAATGAAGGAAATGATTGCCAAGCAATGTTGAATGCTGTGCACACTGGGCACTATATTCAGTTGGCTGTTGGAATAAGGTCTCAGTAAATGAATGGTGTGCACAATGGGATTGAGGTACCGGTTGATAGATTGTTTTTTTTTAACTGATCTTGATTTAATAGATAAGAGTTCGAACACAGTAGTTTATCCTGATTTTTTTTTATGGTATCTTCCACTTACCCTTTTTTGGTTTTGCTATTTACACGTAAGAGTGAATAAACTGCTTTTAAGTTCCAGAGTCTGAAATAGCAGAATTCGCAATGTAGTGCGTACTACCATTACGTCAGTTGAGCGAGCGCGCGCGCGCGTGTTCCGATTCTGATTGAGTCGTGCGTGCGTACGTTGAAGGTGTCAAATCGTGGCGAGTCGTGCGTGGCGAGTCGTGCGTGCGTACGTTGAACGTGTCAAATCGTGGCGAAACGGCGCGCGCGCACGTTCGTCGCTGGTCGTTTTTTTTGTTTCATCAGAATTCCTCATAAATTTCATTTGAGAAAGTTGTGAAGGCGAAAGCTATGCTTGAAAGTTGACAAGATGGCAAAGACCTTGTTTGATAAGCATAAAGCAGAATGTGTATATGAATTGATGCTGGCAATGGGAATCATTATGTGGAGCTGGTTTGGCGAAAACTGATGTTGAATGGTGCAGGTAGATGATTATTTGAGTGCTGGGTTGGGATTGTGCACAATGGGCATGAATTCATTTTTGATTGCAACATAGAGGGTTGAGTCTGGTGCCCATTGGGAATGATACTCATTGACTGACACATCTTTGGTTTCCCTTGTATTCATTTAGCCAATAAGCAGAAGGTTGTTATACCACAGAGGGATTTCATTCCTTTGGAGATTCGGGAAGTGGAATTTAAAGCAATTGATAGCATTGTGATTGCAGTGTTGAGTTGTGATAGTCCTATTGCATTGAACTTGTTGGTCCAGAATGGTGGTTTTAGCAGGCAAGTGATGCAACCATGGGCAAATCATAGATTCCTGAATCCAATGGCTTTGTATGAGAAGACTGTGAGCATTGAAGATAAGAAGAAACTGCAGGATCCTTTGATGAACAGCATTCTGTTTCCTGATTCTGAACGCTATCTGGATAATGGTGGAAACTTCATGAGCTATGGTGTATATCAGATTGACCTTGCGAAAACAATGGTACATTAGAGTGGTTTGAAGAAAGTCGCTCATTGTGTCCATTGGCAGCACCATGGTTGACAAATGATAAACTTACAGCAGTGTTGAAGGGCTACAGGGTATCAAAGGTGACTCCTGCAGGCTTTGAAAGGACTCTGGAGTTTTTTGGTTTGGAGAGAAGTGCACCAGGAAGTGATGTGAAGAATGAAGAAATCTGTTCTTTCCCATTGCTTTTATTTCCTTCTTTTAAGATGGCGAAGAAAAGAAGGTTCTTGGCCTTCACGGTAGTGGAAAAAAGTCAGAATGAATGGCATTACGAGTAGATGAAACGTGTTCACATGACACAATTGCGGTATTTCGAGAGATTGTTGTCCAGGCAATGTTCCTATACGATATCTTTCTGATGATGGTCAGCATAGAGCAGTTGGCTTGAAATGCTATTCTGAGAGAATTGGCGAGTGTCGCGAAACTCTTCCAGAATTTGGGAATCTGCTTCCTGTGTTCAATGTACCAGACGATGTTGCAAAATACAAGTTGAAGAGTAACAAACAGAATTTTGACCCAAGAATCACCTTGGACAAGCGTCATGTCTGGTGTCATGTTGGGTTTGGCGGAAGCTTGAGTTTGCAAGATCAATACGAAGTGTTCCGGAATATGGGCGCGGCTGTGACTTCTGCAGAAAATCGGCGTGTGAAGTCAAATCTCCGAGATGATGCAATCCAGTATTTTGTGCATGTTGAGAGCCTAAATATGAAGCCTCAATCAA